CTGAAAATACTCTTACTAAAAAGCGCTGTATTACCGTATACTACTTGAAGGTCACCAGTATCCTTTTGCCTCAGCCTGGAATCGCGTGGGGGCTTTAATTCAAATAGACATCTGTTACATTTAACAAAGGTGGCTACTTCGTAAATAAATAAACATGGAAACGTTAACAGTTTTAAGTCTTGAAAGTGTGGCTTACAACTGTCCCTAGGACGTAGGCCACGTATAGCGCGTACACATCTTTTTTGTGCTATGAATATGTCATTTTTATCGGTGGAGTTACCCCAAAAAATGAGCCCATACCTCAGTATAGATTCCACGTAACTATGATAAGCGGTGATCACTGTCTCCTGGTTAGCTGAACGTGATAATTTATAAAGAGCATATGCAAAACTGTTTATTTTCTTACACACCGATTCGATATGCGGTTTCCAAGTTAAATTGCTATCGATCACTAAACCCAAGAATCTGGTAGTATTCACTTCTGTAATCGTCGAGCCATTGTAATTAATATTTAGTTGTGGTGGTAATTGACGCTGATAGAAATGCATTAAATATGTTTTTCCTAGATTTATATGTAAATTATTAGATTCTAACCACGTTATTGTCTGTTTTAGAATATTGTTTACTTCTTGTTCATAATTGTAAGATTTATCTGACTTAATAATTATCGTGCTATCATCAGCAAACAGTACAGTTGGGTGACTAAGGTGTTTTGGAAGGTCATTAATGTAAATTAAAAATAACAAGGGCCCTAGTACACTTCCTTGCGGAACCCCGTACTTAATCTTTCTTGACTGAGAACAGTATTTAATTTCTTTTTTGGCTTTTATGTCATTATTTACTATTTCAGTGTATTGTTGCCGGTTATTTAAGTAAGATGCCAATAGTTCCAACCCCTTTCCGCGTACCCCGTACCTTTCCAATTTATCTATTAATATATTATGATCGACATAATCAAATGCCCTGGTCATGTCCATATATAGAGCGCAAATAGGTATTTTATTGTCAACACAATTCATAATTATTTTGAGAAAATCATATATGGCCAGATTGATAGATTTGTTCTTCCTGAAACCTTTTTGCTCATCTACCAATATGTTCTTCTTTTCGAAGAAATTATATAGTCGCGAATGAATGGATTTTTCAATGATTTTGGAAAAAATTGGTATCAATGCTACCGGACGATAGTTTTTGACTTCTTCTTTATCTCCTTTTTTATACAATGGTTTTATAATTGAAGTTTTCAGTTTATCCGGGAAGGTTCCTGTTTCAAAACATAAATTTATTATGTATGATAATGGATAACTGATATATTTGTGAACTTTTTTAATTATGTTTGTTGCCAGGCCGTCATTTCCTGTACTTTTAGTATTCTTTAGGGATTGTATAATAATTGCGACTTTATTTGGCGTAGTTGGATTAAGAAAAAGTGTATCGTAAATACGTTCAATTGGTGGGGCTTGCCCTTTATTACCTATACTAAGACGGTCTATATAAAAATCGTTGAACACGTTGCAAATATTTATGGTGTCCGTTATTTCTACACCATTATGAATAACTTCAGTTATTGGTTCACGAGGAAATTCTACTTTATTGTTATTGATAACGGACCAAGTGGCTTTACTTTTACTTTTAGCATTATGAATAAAATAATTATTTTGCGCAAGCTTTGTAAGATGTATAATTTTTTTGTATCGAGCTGCATATGCAACGTACCTAGCCTTGCTTGCGGTGTTTTTTGCTTTACGGTGTTCCCACAACAGTTTTCTTTTCATTTTGCTACAGGCTTTGATACCACGAGATAACCACTTTTGTTTTTTATTTAAGGTCTTATTTATAAGTTTGGTGGGAAAACAAAGATCATAAAATAGCTTGAACAAATTTAGCAAGGCTTCGTATGCTAGGTTCGGATCATTTTGTTCGTAAACATCACTAAATGTAAGGCTCTTTATGCACTCTACAAATTTCGCTATCAAGTTCGATGAATAATCCCTTACTGTTGTTTTCCAAGAATGTATAACACACGTTTTGTTTACATTACATCTTAGTATTTGTGCGGTATGATCTGAAAGAGCAGTTTCTATTACTTCACCAATATTACCACGATCATTATGGAATATATTATCAATACATGTGCCGCTAGATAGGCGAGTGGGTGACTTCACTAGTACCTTTAAATTATATCCTGCAATTATATTTAAGAATTTTTTAGTACTCAGATCATTATTTAATAGGTTTATGTTGTAGTCTCCGCAAAGTATCGTAGTTTTGATCTTTTTCCCGCTATTAATATGATACAATAAGTTATCCAGCGCTTCAAAGAAAAGTTCTAAATAGAGAAGTTTATGTTGGTTCTTAGGGACCCTGTACACACAAACTACAATCACGTCATGTTGTATTAATTTTATACCGCAAAATTCGAATATATTTGGTTTTAAAAATTGTTTGACTTCATTTAATTTTTCATAATCATGAATATTTTTAACTATTATACACGCACCACCCTTTCTTTTGTCCCTATAGAAACAATCGGCTAATTTATAGTTGGGGAGCGTAAGCAGGTTTTGGTCATCAAATCAGGACAGGAATCCCTGTCATTAAATAAAATAGCATTTTTTTACATTCAGCCATTGATTTTGATGATTACCTACACCCATGTGGGGTTTCATAGCACATTGTAACAAAATAAATTGAAACATTCCGTTTTCGCCAAACCAAGAATTTTACCACATTCTTTACAACATAGAGGTAAGTAAAAGATAAAGACCCGATCGCACTCGAAAAGTATCGTCGTACGGGTGACACGTCACGTACACCACATGCATACAATGACGTAGCGGCTGTCTATTACTCAAGTGAGGCTCAAAAAAGGGGAAAGGGTTCGACAAAAAATTACAAAATATCAAGAGGGGGGACAGGGCGAAATAAAATACCACGTGTATTTATTTATCCTCGATTTTTTTAAGCCTTATAACAAGGTATCGAGGGAGTTTTTACCGGTGCTTGGAATTAACTCGTCGAGTACCGTATTTATAGACACAATTAAAGAACAATAGGTTGCGGTCACCGGTGACCGCTTGGTGTTTGACAGTTTAATGTGATTTAAGGTCTTTCAAATGTCGTAAACAATGAGTATGAAATTCCAATGTGATGACGTCATTATTTTCCCACACCTTCACTGTGACAATGTTGCAAGGTTGCAATATTAGTTCATAACTCAGAATTGGCTTCAAAAGTTTTCTTTTATATTGTATTTCATTGGATTATCTCCGCCCAGAACAAATGATAATCTACTTTATCTGACGCTACTGCGCCGTAGTATCAACAGCTACGCCGTAGCATCATTTGCTACGAATTCAATTGGACTAATGCCAACAGTTGTTTGCAATCACGAGCGTCACCTAAGCACTGGAGAAATGTGTTTGAAATGAAATGAAATGTGTTTATTCGGCATAAGACATGTACGCCAGGACCAAAACAAATATATTATAGCAAAATAACAATTAAAAGGTTAAAAAAAGAGAGAGAGAAAAAAAGATCATAAGCTACATTATAAAATTAAAACAAGCTAATAATAACAGATACAACATACTACGCAGTGTTGGCACACATGCCCAATCCGAATAGGTCAGCAAGTCAGTAAAAAGCTGGGCACAATGAGCACCCAACACTGATTTCCAGTTGGCACCCCTGCAGAGACGCACGGACGAAAGCAACAAATACTTGTAATCGTAATCCGCATATGCCAAAATTTCATTTGAATTTTGTGATCAATGAACAATTTGAAATTCATAAGATGTTTGTTATTCTTGCACGAAACAAGTTCTGGATGATTTGGATGAAGTACAGAGTCTGGAAATCAATACAGTCTGGACACATGAAGTATTTTGTATCCCAAGGACGCGGGCGAAGCTACTGGCAGAAATAAGTTAATTTATAATGATGTCGTCGCTATCGGGACATGGTTCTAATGAAAGACGAAATATTCGTCGCTAGAAGGTGTAGGCCCTTAGTCCAGCGGTGGACTGCCAAGTGCTGTTTGTTAATGCTGAATGAATACTCTACTAGTATGAAACTCATCGTTTGCGACATTTCGAAGAACGTATCTAATTACTTTTACCGAAGACCTATTGTCGTCAGTGGTTGTCGAGAGTCAGCTGTTTACAAAGATAACCGAAGGATAATGAGTGAGACAATACTATGTCGTAATATTTAATAGAAAGAGTAATAAATAAATAACACGAGTGCTTAGTTCACCAAAGGTAGGACATATCGAAACGTGGTCTTTTTAACTGCATTATTATTAATATACACGGTTTGTTTCAAATTCTACAAGGTCGAGATTGAATTTTGCGTTCATATACTCCCGAAGGGTGTTATGGGCGGACTGCTCGTATTGTAACTCCGCTATCGAACATTGACACCATGATGAATCCACAAGTTTAAAGAAAGACAATTTGAATTAATAGTTTCCATGGTCAGTGAGAACTTTGGCAATACAGTGATCCACCTCCAACCGTGCCATATCCAGCCACAGATGCACGGATGGAAAGAACTAACTGTTATTGTATGGATGGATTGGATAGATATTGTAGATCGAAATACCATATTGAGTATTTTTTAATGTTTATTCAATTGATCTCCTTTCAAGAATATGTTAAAATGTGTGCTTTATCCGTGGCTAGACCTGTCGATACAAGACCTCTTTTTCGAAGTCGGCCAATTATTTGTATGACTAACTCCTGCTACTTATTACTACTACGGGAATTTATTGTGAGGTGTAACTTATAGAATGTTGCATTTAGGCGTCAGGGATTTAAAGATAAAATACAAAAATTGAAAGTTAACAAAATTAGTATATTTTATTCATTTATCATACAATACATTACCATAATACAAATAAAAATTAAAAGTTACAATTTCATTTAAACAATTCGCTATATTAATATTAATTTACAATCAGTTTTGCACTTTGAGGAACGCTAGTATAGGAACAATAACTAACTATAATGTTTGTCACATCGGTCGTCGTGGTCCCAGTATTTGGCGCTGCGCGGTACTTCGGTGACATTGCGTCTCGGGGCCGCCTTGGCTGTCGTTCCGTCTTCCTTTCCACCAATCCTCCTCCTGTTCAATTTCCCGTTTATGTTCGGCGGTCGGTAGTCGGGTACGGGGCAAGACTGTGCTGGCGGGAGAACAGTCTGCTCGTATTTAGTTTCATGATTTCTCATCGCTTCTACCTGACGCCAAGTGTTAAGGTCGTGTCTTTTCCTTAAGTTATTTTTAACTGGCCATGTATCTTGGCTAACTGAGAGTGGTGGTTTTACTGAGAGGGCATTGAGTCTCAATAATCGAGCTCCAACGCCTAATTTTGGCGTCAATTTAGTCTTCGTATCCTCATTATCATTCAGACTAATCTCTGCGGTCGCTGAAGCGTCTGGTCTGTATTCAGGTATCGAAGGAGTCTGGGATACATTTCTCTCGGGGTAACTTCGGAAGTTATTTCTTCCTTGTTGGGACTCAAGTCTCTCTGTTTTCTTCTCCTCTGGCTGACGCCAAGAGTTAAGGTCGTGTCGTTGTTTCACGTTAGCATTCCATAGTTCAAACGTATCCTGACTAACTGAGATTGGGTTTTCCTGCCCTGATAGCCCATCTCCGGCGCCTACTATCGGCATCAAATTAGGCTTCGTCTCTTCTTCGTCATTCAGACTGATCTCAGATATATTTTGGCTGACTTTTTCTGCGATTTTCGTAGCATCCGGTTTATTTTTGTTCTTCTCGGGGCTTTTTTTCCAAGTTCCATAGCCGACTTCACTGAAATTTCCTGCCGTGGTTAGGTCGAGATGTGCGGCGTAGAACTGTTGCAGTGTATTCGGCAGGGCAAGAAACTTGTTGAGGCAAAGGTCCGCGGAGAGCAGCAGCCACGCCGTTGTACTGACCGGTGGGGGCGAGAGCAGACGGAGACGGATTGAGATCGAGAGCTCGTCCATCTCTTGAGGTAGTAGGGAGAGTAGCTCGCGACCGTTCTGCATCAACTGTGAAGAAATGTAAGTTACATATTACTATTTGAACCTGCTTAGCTGTCACGATTCTACTAAACAATGAATGTTTGATAGGGATTTAATGTTATAATGAAACAAAGATTATGCCGACCTCCAGTAAAAACGAGAAATACCAACATGTAAATCTACATAAATTTTTTTTATAAATATTTAGTTTCATTACGAAACAACAAGGTTGACAATAATCTATTCATGATTGTATTAATTCTAGAGATATAACTATTATGTGAAATTTTATTTTATCATAATTAAAACTAAAATATTTACACCTTAAAAAATAATAATAATGAAAAATTAATAATAATACAATAATTAATACAATCATGAATAGAATAATCTACCTATCTGTCAACCTTGTTGTTTCGTAATGAAACTAAATATTTATAAAAACTTTTTATGTAGATTTACAATGAATGTTATTAGCAAATATTCTGTCTATATGGCAATAAAGCTCCCTCGGTGGATGGACGATAGCTAGTATGTTAGTAAGGATAACCCGTCTCAACCACCCGAAATCACTGCAATCCCTGTGCACCGAAACATTGTAGACGGACACAAATAATTGTCATGGATTCCGTAACGAAATAAATAAATCAGAAGATATCACTCGAGGAAGTAAAAAAATAATAAATGTTTGTTTGAAACTTACTTGGGCTGCGAGACTGCGATGTGCACGAACATCATGGGCGGCGAGTAAGGCACGCAGGTATTGCAGTAGTGGTCCAGCCAGAAAGTGAAGCTTGTCGCCGTTAGTGAGGCGAGCGTCTGCGAAGTAATCTCCCATCAGATTCGCAGCGTTGATGAGGAACAGCGGGTTTGAGCGCTCTAGCAGGTCCAGTTCTGTTGATGGAGATGAAAATTAGTTGACATATTACTGGGTGAACAGCATTCGAGAGGTGAATAGATATTGGGAAAGGGTACTTACTGGAGAAAGTGTCCTGCATGACGACATTAAGCAGGGCTCCACGTAGCAGTGGCAGTCTCTGCTGGCGAGTGAACGAAACACCCACTGCGACCAGCTTACGTGCCGTCTCTGGGCTCAGCAGAGCCGCCGCGCGGAACGTCGCAAATGCTTGTCTGGACAAAGAGGAATAAAATTATTAGACTTATTAATGGCAGAAGAGGTGAAGTTTTTTGATAGATATTGAGAAACTTAAATGCTTATACTTTTAATTTCATATATTGCTATAAGCAGCAGATATAATTTGAAAAAATAAGCCTAGGTAAGTACTTACTGCACGCGCGAGTCGTCCGGACACACGGATGAGACAGTGGTCTCAAAGTGTTTCAACTTTCTGTTGAATTGGATGCCATCTTCTCCAGGGGAAAACTGTTCCAGCTGTAAGAAAAGGTAAGTCAGTAAATTAACAATAATGAACTCAGTTGTGTTTTTCGTATTAAAATAAGTTAAGAAAATATAATATTACATACCAAGGTCAACAGGGGAACATATTGTTCATCGACTCTGAGCAAGTCCTTTAAGGCGCCGTCTTCCTCGTCCACTGAAGATTCAGTTTCCGATATTTCTGGAGCCTCTAATTCAGGCTCTACGGAGTCTCTTCCAGTCTCTGGTTGTTCGGCCATTTCGGTCGACTTCTCCACTTCTTCGCTCCAAATAAAATGGTCGATCCCCATGTTTTTAAATTAAAACAAAATAATTAATAATAGTGATAATGCAGACTTGGGACACGTCGACTGTACAGCGCGATGTCACAGGAGCAACTGACGAAGTGACGGACGATCTGCTAGCTGCTAGCCTAAAACTTGTATTGTATCGACGATATAATGCCTGGTGGGGAGAAGTAAGACAATACGCGCGCCGTATCCTTCTGACGCATACATTTCTCACGTTTCTCTATTGAATATTTTGTCCTTGTCTAACGTATAAGTTGTTATGTACTCAAATGTTGCTATCTCTTTCTTTCAAAAGGGCGTACCACCTACCATACTAGCGATACGCCTCTGCTTCACACGGAGGTATATTCTCGGAAATTATGTATTGTCGTCCTATGAGGAGCAGAACAAAGAAACGATGTATATAATTCGGTCACGACAACGAGTAGGATAATCTTTTTGATGCTTTAAGTTAGTTTGTTCTTATCCTATTTTTCTTATGATGATTTTAGTTGTGAATATCTTAGTTTTCATTTATATTTTAGTCATAGAAATTTTTCTTATATTACCTACATTACTTCGTTAGAGTTGAAAAATTTTAGATTAATCATAGTTTACATGCGGGGAATCCAGTAAATAGTGCAAGTCAAAATAATATCACATTCTCGAAAATATCTAAAAAAAATTTGTCGCTCATCTTTGCTAAAAGCAGTTAAAAAAATAAATGTGACCTACCTCGTTTAGTGGTGATTTTGAAAAAGTAAAGTGACAATAGTACATTCTCATTACAATATACGATAAAATAAACTATTCTAACGTAAGAAGAATGCCCAAAGAGTATGGAGCAAACACCCAGAATCTATTAAAATAATGTGTGTGTGGCACCTTGCCACAGTTAATACATTAGATACATCCCAATTCAATAATTGTTTTCGATTGAATCATTACTAAGTAAAAAAATAACAAGACCAGTTCATCTTGGTCCCGCCTTCGATGGTCTTTATAGATAGATTTAACGGTCAGTTTATACTGGTTCACATTTTGGAAAATCTTGTAGTTGTGGGTGCTAGTAGATCATACTGTTCTGGACGTAGATAAGCCAATAAAATATAAAATTTAATAAAACTTTTGCAGCCAATACGGGATTATAAAATAATATTGTAACCTAGCAACATGATTAGAGTGAAGGTGTGGGTAAATGACGACGTCATCACATTGGAATTTCATACATAACGACATTTTGTAGAACTTAAGTGCTTAGTTAATGAATTTTTCCACTAAGTACGCCGATACTAACTAATGGACGAGATAATTGATCATAGTTAATTATAATATACTATAGCATACAATATAGTAGTTATTATAGTACAATATAATGATAATTAAGTAATAAATAAGCTATCATTAAGTAATGTATAATATCTAACCTACGAATGCGGTTCGGGAACGCCGCCGTCATCCTACACACGTACTATTGTTATTTTACTTGATTTTTACGCTGGCGCTGTCTGGTGGGCGGAGGTGCGACAGGCGCCATTATTTAACTGCATCATACTGCTAGCTGGTGCTAAAAGTCAGTGCTGTGGACTCGAGCCCTCGTGCCCGGGCACAACATTAAACTAAGCTTCGACCTGTTCAGTTTATACTGGTTTTAGAACATGTTCACATTTTGGAAAATCTTGTAGTTCTGGGTGCTCGAAACTCGAAACGACCAGACAACCTTTGTTCTGAAGTGGACTATAACGGTGACGAAGACGACACTGTACATTCAGTGCTCTAGAAGCGTGGATACCATCCATTTCATGCGTTAGTTAACTACACGTGCAAACTATTTTATCGAGATAGTTGGGTCGTGTTTCCGTCAGTCGGCGTAACATCTGATTTTGTAATAATTCATGTCAATCAGCAGCTAAAAGGAGTACTTAGTCTCAAAGTAGTATTTGATAAAAGTATGGTAGTAACATATTCTAGAAAATCGGCCCGTCCTCGATTAGAACAGCTTTTTTAGAGCAAATTTTTGTAATGAGGATGTACTATTATGTCGTAAAATAGCGTCGTACGCGTGACACGTCACGTAGACCACCGCACCGTCAGAAATGTGCACTTAACCAAATGGTTTATATGTACGAACTTGTATTTTTGTCAAGACTAGCTGTAGTCGCAACTTCTTCTGCGTCTTTATAAAATAAAAATTACCTACGTCACATCTGAGTATTAGCTAACTTCCAATGAAAGTCCCGTCAAAATCTGTCAGCTACTTCAGAGATTAGCCAGTATAGACAAAACCTCACCACGTGTCATCAGAAGGGAGCAGCAGCCAAAAAAATCTCATGTTTTTAATGGACGGCCTTAGGATAGACAGAGAAGAGAGAATTGATACAGATTTGGTGACGCTCATGAATGCATACAACTGTCTAATTAAATTCGTAGCAAATGATACTACGTCGCAGTAGCATCTGATAAAGTAGATCGTACTGTTCCGGACGGAGATAAGCCAATAAAGTATAAAATTTAATAAAACTTTTGCAGCCAATACGGGATTATAAAATAATATTGTAACCTAGCAATATGGTTAGAGTGAAGGTGTGGGTAAATGACGACGTCATCACATTGGAATTCCACACATAACGACATTTTGTAGAACATAAGTGCTTAGTTAATGACTTTTTCCACTAAGTACGCCGAAACTAACTAATGGACGAAATAATTGACAATAGTCAATTATAATATAGTATAGCATACAATGTAGTAGTTATTATAGTATAATATAATGATAATTTAGTAATAAATAAGCTATCATTAAGTAATGTATAATATCTAACCTACGAATGCGGTTCGGGAACGCCGCCGTCATCCTACACATGTACTATTGTTATTTTACTTGATTTTTACGCTGGCGTTGTCTGGTGGGCGGAGGTGCGACAGGCATCGTTATTTAACTGCATCATACTGCTAGCTGGTGCTAAAAGTCAGTGCTGTGGACTCGAGCCCTCGTGCCCGGGCACAACATTAAACTAAGCTTCGACCTATTGCGCTGCGACGCAACATGAACTTATTTTTGTGTGTTCTTGTATTGTTGTCTGCGTGTGTGTCGTGACGTAATAAACAGATTTTCTTTCTTTCTATATTAAAGAAAGTAGTGTTAGTACACTATACAAGGTGTTGTTTTAAAGCCGCGTCATTTTCTAGGAGGTAACCCGGATACCGATCTGAGTCCGAATCAATAAAAAAATAGTAGGTAAATATTTTTCATTTTTCTGTAAATTACGAAAATCCGTGAGTGCGAACTACACGCCGCCGTCTTGTAATTAGTTTTATAACGCGGCTTAACACACACAAACTCAAACACGTAATTGATATTATTCCTAATTCGATAAAACTCCAATAAGAAACATTGCTGTTGCTTATTCTGCAATACTGTCGAACTTAAACGATTTATTATAGCCGTATTTTTAACTATTGGACCGAAACTTTCTCTTACATTGAACCTTTATGACTTCTGTGACATGCCCCCGAGAAATGCCACGGTTTCAAAACTACACCTTGTATATTACTCGAGAACGGCTACATCGATTTGAATAAAAATTGGTGGGAAGGTAGCTTAGGACCAGGAGACGGGCATTAGATACTTTACAAGGAATTTCTGGAAATCCTGCAGGAACGGAAAGACACGAGATTGCGCATACGAAGTCGCAGGCAGAAGCTACTTAATTCTATAAAGGATCTTAATGAATGTTGAGTAATAAAAACAGCTAAATTGCTAAGAATTAGTAAAGCATTTCAAATTCTGATTTTCAATCTCTTTTCATTACTTATTTTTATTAAAACTTGTTTTGAAGTTGCTTTTACTGTGTCATTCAAACTATTAGATTCTTAACTTAAGGAAAAATTTAAATAAAAATCAAAAATTACTGGTATGTGTCATATATTACAACGAAATACACATTATAACATGAAATACATTAAATATTCGTTCAAACACAACTTCTATAGCATCTTGTACAATTGAAACATACACTGTTTTTAGACACAAATTGTGACGTAATTTAATTTATCTAATTCTTAATTAAAACTATTTTACAATTAACTAAAAATAATGTGACAATTACACACGCTGCTCACGAGGAAGTCCCCTTGTGACTCGAAACTAGTAGAGCTTCTCTCAGTATATTTACGTGAGTAATTCATAATTTTTATTTAATTCGGCATGTCTCACGATAGTTATTATAAAAACACAACCTTATATTTACAATGTTTAATGTGCCCATACAACTAAACAAAACATAATCAATTGATTGAAATAATTCTAAAAACTATAATAATTACAACTGAACTGTACAAAACGATATCACCAAACATTAACTGGGTGTTTCATCACAAATTAAACCTATTTTATACATAGAATGTGTCGGTAAACGAGCAGACGGACCACCTGATCAAGTAAACGTAAGCAGTCAGCGCTGCGAAAGGACACCCGCAACACCAGAGGACTTACAAGTCCGTTGTTGGTCTTTTAGGAAAGAATGCGCTCTTTTCTTCAACTTTTCGCTGACAGTGCTCTCGGTCATAGGTTTCCCAGATATGCCACACGTACCGACGCCTACTCTCCCGGTCAGATTATCCGGCGACGCGAATATACTCTTTGTCCGGATAGCCGGTTTCTTTATAGCTTTGCTATGAAAGTTCAACCACTTGTTCTTCTCGGCTTCTCTGTCTTCTTCATATTGTTTCATTCTCTGATGTTTCTTTTGCTTCTTCTTCTTGAGGTATTCTTTGCTGTGCCCCTTACCATTTCTGTAAAGAAGATAACATTATTTTAGTACATGAAACATATTCCAAGACGTACCTAATGACTTACTTATGATAGTAGTTAAATCTTGGAATATTGTTCTAAGAAGCAATGACTACCTATTTAATTCCTATTCTTCTGTGACAATCTCATTAAAAACTTCTGTTCAATCTAATTTGAAACCAAACAGATTAAAGCCTAAAAATACCATATCAAAGAAAAGCAACACTTACTGCCCCACTTGGCAATTGGAAGAAGATGTGTGTGAGCTTCTATCATCAGCCGCCACCACGGACGCAACATCATGATAATTACTAGAACCATGAATATTAGTCACTTCGGAGCCACCGGCTGGAGTTTTTATAACTTCTTCTGTCAGCTCTATTAGTTCTTCTAAGTCAGCCTTAAATTTCAGCAATTTCTTAGAGGAATAGAAACCATAGTTATGTTATTAGTATCATTCTGCCCAAACTTATCTCAGATTTTAGTATGTCCTATAATATAATATCACAGACGCGGAATCATCGAAACGGAATGTAATTGAAATATTTATAAAACATGTAGGAAAAGATAACCTACCACCCATGTAGGGTTTCATAGCACATTGTAACAAAATAAATTGAAACATTCCGTTTTCGCCAAACCAAGGCTTTTACCACATTCTTTACAACATAAGTAAAAGACAAAGACACGACCGATCGCACTCGAAAAGTATCGTCGTACGGGTGACACGTCACGTACACCACATGCATACAATGACGTAGCGGCTGTCTATTAATCAAATGAGGCTCAAAAAAGGGAAAAGGGATCGACAAAAAATTACAAAATATCAAGAGGGGGGACGGAGCGAAATAAAATACCACGTGTATTTATTTATCCTCGATTTTTTTAAGCCTTACAACAAGGTATGGAGGGAGTTTTTACCGGTGCATGGAATTAACTCGTCGAGTACCGTATTTATAGACACAATTAAAGAACAATAGGTTGCGGTCACCGGTGACCGCTTGGTGTTTGACAGTTTAATGAGATTTAAGGTCTTTCAAATGTCGTAAACAATGAGTATGAAATTCCAATGTGATGACGTCATTATTTTCCCACACCTTCACTGTGACAATGTTGCAAGGTTGCAATATTAGTTCATAAATCAGAATTGGCTTCAAAAGTTTTCTTATATATTGTATTTCATTGGATTATCTCCGCCCAGAACAAATAATAATCTACCTTATTTGACGCTACTACGCCGTAGTATCAACAGCTACGCCGTAGCATCATTTGCTACGAATTCAATCGGACTAATGCCAACAGTTGTTTGCAATCACGAGCGTCACCTAAGCACTGGAGAAATGTGTTTGAAATGAAATAAAATGTGTTTATTCGGCATAAGACATGAACGCCAGGACCAAAACAAAAATATATATTATAGCAAAATAACAATTAAAAGGTTAAAAAAAAGAGAGAGAGAAAAAAAGATCATAAGCTACATTATAAAATTAAAACAAGCTAATAATAACAGATACAACATACTACGCAGTGTTGGCACACATGCCCAATCCGAATAGGTCAGCAAGTCGGTAAAAAGCTGGGCACAATGAGCACCCAACACTGATTTCCAGTTGGCACCCCTGCAGAGACGCACGGACGAAAGCAACAAATACTTGTAATCGTAATCCGCATATGCCAAAATTTCATTTTAATTTTGTGAACAATGAACAATTTGAAATGGATAAGATGTTTGTTATTCTTGCACGAAACAAGTTCTGGTTGATTTGGATGAAGTACAGAGTCTGGAAATCAATACAGTCTGGACACATGAAGTATTTTGTATCCCAAGGACGCGGGCGAAGCTACTGGCAGAAATAAGTTAATTTATAATGATGTCGGCGCTATCGGGACAAGGTTCTAATGAAAGACGAAATATTCGTCGCTAGAAGGTGTAGGCCCTTAGTCCAGCGGTGGACTGCCAAGTGATGTTTGTTAATGTTGAATGAATACTCTACCAGTATGAAACTCATCGTTTGCGACATTTCGAAGAACGTATCTAATTACTTTTACCGAAGACCCATTGTTGTCGGTGGTTGTCGAGAGTAAGCTGTTTACATGGATAACCAAAGGATGATGAGTGAGACAATGCTATATCGTAATATTTAATAGAAAGAGTAATAATTAAATAATACGAGTGCTTAGTTCATCAAAATAGGACATATCGAAACGTGGTCTTTTTAACTGCATTATTATTAATACACACGGTTTGTTTCAGATTCTAGAAGGTCGAGATTGAATTTTTGCGTTCATATACTCCCGAAGGGTGTGATGGGCGGACTGCTCGTATTGCAACTCCGCTATCGAACATTGACACCATGATGAATCCAGAAGTTTAATAAGAACAATTTGATTTTATAGTTTCCATGGCCAGTGAAAACTTTGGCAATACAGTGATCCACCTCCAACCGTGCCATCTCCAGCCACAGATGCACGGATGGAAAGAACTAACTGTATTGGAATATGAAAAACATTTGGATCGATTTTGTAGATCGAGTTACCATATTGAGTATTTTTGGAATGCTTATTCAATTGAACCCCTTTGAAGAATACGTTAAAATATGGCTAGTCCTGTCGTTCTATATGGATTCGGGTGCTGAGTCATGAGAAAGGCGGGTGAAAGAAGTTTGCCTACAGCAGAGATGAGAATGCTGCAATGGATATGTGGCGTGATGAGACTAGACAATAAAATACACGGTTATGTTATGGAAGCTTAAGAGTAGCGCTCTCTAGTGGAGCCTAACTGTGGGAATCTGTACATCTAAACTCCGCATACTTAAATTCTAGCATACATTCTGTCTGGATATAGAACTGAATGGTTCAAAAACTTGATTTTTATTGCATTGATGAGTGAAAAACAATGTAATCTTGTTTTCATTATACCTTATACTTCTTGTCAACTTATCTGTATTCACCTCCTTAACGAATCATTCTATTTTCAAAAAATGTAGGACAAAAAGAGATAGAAACATTTGATACACCACAACTTTTACGTTAGATAAGGACAAATTATACAATAGAGAAACGTGAGAAAGCAATACCTGCTCAAAATGCATGCGTTAGAAGGACAGCGCGCGTATTGTTTTACGTCTCCCCACCAAGCATTATGTCGTCGATACAATACAAGTTTTAGGCTAGCAGCTAGCAGATCGCCCGTTACTTCGCCAGTTGCTCCTGTGACATCGCGCTGTACAGTCAACGTGTCCCGAGTCTGCATTATTACTATTATAAATAATTTCGTTTTAATTTAAAAAAACATGGTTTTGGAAAGATTCGTTTGGAGCGAAGAAGTGGAGAAGTCTACCGAAATGGGCGAACAACCAGAGACTGGTAGAGACTCCGTAGAGCCTGAATTAGAGGCTCCAGAAATATTGGAAACTGAATCTTCAGTGGACGAGGAAGACGGTGCCTTAAAGGACTTGCTCAGAGTCGATGAACAATATGTTCCCCTGTTGACCTTGGTATGTAATATTATATTTTCTTAACTTATTTTAATACGAGAAACAATTGAGTTCATTATTGTTAATTTACTGACTTACCTTTTCTTACAGCTGGAACAGTTTTCCCCTGGAGAAGATGGCATCCAATTCAACAGAACGTTGAAACACTTTGAGACCACTGTCTCATCCGTGTGTCCGGACGACTCGCGCGTGCAGTAAGTACTTACCTATTCATTTTCAAATTATATCTTCTCTATGTGTTCACATGTTGACTAGGTTTTCGGTTAGTTTTGAAGAAATTTGTAATGGGGCTTATGTCAACATTTTGTTATGTAAATTTGAATGCGATTTTGAACTAAAGAGTTGTGAACATGTAAATAATTTATTTTTCTTTATATAGGCAAGCGTTTGCAACGTTCCGCGCTGCGGCCCTGCTGAACCCGGCGATGGCGCGCAAGCTGGCTGCAGTGGGCAGCTGCTTTAAGAGTCAACTTCAGCTGCGCCGAACCTTCCTGAACGTAGTGCTGCAGGAAACCTTTGCTAGTAAGTATTCTGGACCTATGAACGATTTTATCATAATGCATGTTTGTTAGTGTCAGACCACCTCTGCTTGCTCTGCACTAGGATTGTCTCCTGTGTCGTTTCCCATTTCTAACAATACTTTCATCTCCATTAACAGAACTGGATGTGCTGGAGCGCTCCAACCCAAAGTACCTGGTGAATGCAACGTCACTGATGGGTGATTACTTCGCGGGGGCCCGCCTCAGCGATGGCCAGAAAGTAATATTCCTCGCCGAGCCACTGCTGCGGTACCTGCGCGCACTACTGGCCTGCCAGGATATTCTAGCGCACCGCACACTCGCAACGCAGGTACTATATCACTCTTACCGATCATTATCAATATTTAGCATGGCCAAAGAATCTCACAAATGCTAATTAATTTTTTTATTCACAGTTAATGCAAAACGGTCGCGAGCTACTCTCCATACTACCACAAGAGATAGACGAGCTTTCGATTTCTATCCGTCTCCGTCTGCTCTCGTCGCCACCGGTCAGTACAACGTGGCTACTGCTCTCCGCGGACCTTTGCCTCAACAAGTTTCTTGCTCTGCCGAATATACTGCAACAGTTCTATGCTGATCATCTCGAAATAACCACGTCAGAAAATAGTGAAGTCAGCTATGGATCTTGCACAAAAGGCCCCGAAATGGACGTAGATCAGCCACAATCAACTGCTGCTGCTCGGCAATCAAAGGAAGATAGAACAGCGTCAGTTAGACGAAACAAGTACGACGCTGTTCATTCCAAAATTGACATGAAAAGCAGACTCGATCTCAACTCATGGCGGCAGCCGAATGAGGAGGTTGTTAAACAAGTGTGCAGTCTCCATAAAGATGATACCACCAAGACGCGGATTGCTCAGAGAAACCTTATATCTGCCGGCCGAGACAAATTGGCAACCTGGACGGCAAGAAATAACCTGAGGAGACGTTACGATCTCAACTCGTGGCGGCAGACACAGGAGGAGAATGTGGAAGAGGACGTGAGACATACGAGATGATTTTACGTTTATAATATAAGTCGTGTAGTACCAAGTTGTAAGACGTATTGTAAATTTAAATTTAATTGTACATAGCGGAATGAAATGTTACTTGTATGTTTTGTATATTGTGTCGAATCTATAAAATAAATAATTTGATTGCAAAACTTTGCTATTTTATTAAATCTAACGTAGGGACTTTTAAATAGAAAAATATTTGTGCTAGGAATAAAAAAATACATTAAGACATTAAAATTAAATATGGGGAATAGAACATTGGATCTTTATTAATGTCACAATTTATTAATGTTTGTATTTTAAAGTTTCTTTATTTATAACAAATCTAGTTGGAGTAGCTAGTCATATTTTATTTCAATATTCCATAATACATCAGTCTGTTGTTGTTTATAGCATTAGTGTTCAAATACAATTTTAAGACGTTCTCAAGAATAGTTCTGTCACTACAAAATCAAATACTTTGTACAACGACAGAGATACAATTAGAATTGATATTGTTTCTTTTCATTCATTGTTTCTTTGTTCTGCTGCTTATAGGACAATACATTATTTCCGAGAATATAGACCCCGTGTATAGTTGGGGCGTATCACTAGTATATAGGCGAGAGTAGGAAAGAATATAAGGGGTTGCCCAAGTCTCATGTAGAGTAAAGGAATCCCTGTCATTAAATAAAATAGCATTTTTTTACATTCAGCCATTGATTTTGATGATTACCTACACCCATGTGGGGTTTCATAGCACATTGTAACAAAATAAATTGAAACATTCCGTTTTCGCCAAACCAAGAATTTTACCACATTCTTTACAACATAGAGGTAAGTAAAAGATAAAGACCCGATCGCACTCGAAAAGTATCGTCGTACGGGTGACACGTCACGTACACCACATGCATACAATGACGTAGCGGCTGTCTATTACTCAAGTGAGGCTCAAAAAAGGGGAAAGGGTTCGACAAAAAATTACAAAATATCATCAAGAGGGGGGACAGAGCGAAATAAAATACCACGTGTATTTATTTATCCTCGTTTTTTTTAAGCCTTATAACAAGGTATCGAGGGAGTTTTTACCAGTGCTTGGAATTAACTCGTCGAGTACCGTATTTATAGACACAATTAAAGAACAATAGGTTGCGGTCACCGGTGACCGCTTGGTGTTTGACAGTTTAATGTGATTTAAGGTCTTTCAAATGTCGTAAACAATGACTATGAAATTCCAATGTGATGACGTCATTATTTTCCCACACCTTGCAATATTAGTTCATAACTCAGAATTGGCTTCAAAAGTTTTCTTTTATATTGTATTTCTTTGGATTATCTCCACCCAGAACAAATGATAATCTACTTTATCTGACGCTACTGCGCCGTAGTAGCAACAGCTACGCCGTAGCATCATTTGCTACGAATTCAATTGGACTAATGCCAACAGTTGTTTGCAATCACGAGCGTCACCTAAGCACTGGAGAAATGTGTTTGAAATGAAATGAAATGTGTTTATTCGGCATAAGACATGAGCGCCAGGTACCAAAACAAAAATATATATTATAGCAAAATAACAATTAAAAGGTTAAAAAAAAGAGAGAGAGAAAAAAAGATCATAAGCTACATTATAAAATTAAAACAAGCTAATAATAACAGATACAACATACTACGCAGTGTTGGCACACATGCCCAATCCGAATAGGTCGGCAAGTCAGTAAAAAGCTGGGCACAATGAGCACCCAACACTGATTTCCAGTTGGCACCCCTGCAGAGACGCACGGACGAAAGCAACAAATACTTGTAATCGTAATCCGCATATGCCAAAATTTCATTTTAATTTTGTGAACAATGAACAATTTGAAATGGATAAGATGTTTGTTATTCTTGCACAAAACAAGTCCTGGATGATTTGGATGAAGTACAGAGTCTGGAAATCAATACAGTCTGGACACATGAAGTATTTTGTATCCCAAGGACGCGGGCGAAGCTACTGGCAGAAATAAGTTAATTTATAATGATGTCGGCGCTATCGGGACAAGGTTCTAATGAAAGACGAAATATTCGTCGCTAGAAGGTGTTCTTAGTCCAGCGGTGGATTGCCAAGTGATGTTTGTTAATGTTGAATGAATACTGTACTAGTATGAAACTCATCGTTTGCGACATTTCGAAGAACGTATCTAATTACTTTTACCGAAGACCTATTGTCGTCGGTGGTTGTCGAGAGTAAGCTGTTTACATAGATAGATAATTAAATAATACGAGTGCTTAGTTCATCAAAATAGGACATATCGAAACGTGGTCTTTTTAACTGCATTATTATTAATACACACGATTTGTTTCAGATTCTAGAAGGTCGAGATTGAATTTTTGCGTTCATATACTCCCGAAGGGTGTGATGGGCGGACTGCTCGTATTGCAACTCCGCTATCGAACATTGACACCATGATGAATCCAGAAGTTTAATAAGAACAATTTGATTTTATAGTTTCCATGGCCAGTGAAAACTTTGGCAATACAGTGATCCACCTCCAACCGTGCCATCTCCAGCCACAGATGCACGGATGGAAAGAACTAACTGTATTGGAATATGAAAAACATTTGGATCGATTTTGTAGATCGAGTTACCATATTGAGTATTTTTGTAATGCTTATTCAATTGAACCCCTTTGAAGAATACGTTAAAATATGGCTAGTCCTGTCGTTCTATGTGGATTCGGGTGCTGAGTCATGAGAAAGGCGGGTGAAAGAAGTTTGCCTACAGCAGAGATGAGAATGCTGCAATGGATATGTGGCGTGATGAGACTAGACAATATAATACACGGTTATGTTTATGGAAGCTTAAGTAGCTTAGCTCTCTAGTGGAGTGCCTAACTGTGGGAATCTGTACATCTAAACTCCGCATACTTAAATTCTAGCATACATTCTGTCTGGATATAGAACTGAATGGTTCAAAAACTTGATTTTTATTGCATTGATGAGTGAAAAACAATGTAATCTTGTTTTCATTATACCTTATACTTCTTGTCAACTTATCTGTATTCACCTCCTTAACGAATCATTCTATTTTCAAAAAATGTAGGACAAAAAGAGATAGAAACATTTGATACACAACAACTTTTACGTTAGATAAGGACAAAATATACAATAGAGAAACGTGAGAAAGCAATACCTGCGCAAAATGTATGCGTTAGAAGGAGACAGCGCGCGTATTGTTTTACGTCTCCCCACCAAGCATTATGTCGTCGATACAATACAAGTTTTAGGCTAGCAGCTAGCAGATCGCCCGTTACTTCGCCAGTTGCTCCTGTGACATCGCGCTGTACAGTCAACGTGTCCCGAGTCTGCATTATTATTATAAATAATTTCGATTTTAATTTCAAAAAACATGGTTTTGGAAAGATTCGTTTGGAGCGAAGAAGTGGAGAAGTCTACCGAAATGGGCGAACAACCAGAGACTGGTAGAGACTTCGTAGAGCCTGAATTAGAGGCTCCAGAAATATTGGAAACTGAATCTTCAGTGGACGAGGAAGACGGTGCCTTAAAGGACTTGCTCAGAGTCGATGAACAATATGTTCCCCTGTTGACCTTGGTATATATTAATTTTCTTAACTTATTTTAATACGAGAAACAATTGAGTTCATTATTGTTAATTTACTGACTTACCTTTTCTTACAGCTGGAACAGTTTTCCCCTGGAGAAGATGGCATCCAATTCAACAGAAAGTTGAAACACTTTGAGACCACTGTCTCATCCGTGTGTCCGGACGACTCGCGCGTGCAGTAAGTACTTACCTATTCATTTTCAAATTATATCTTCTCTATGTGTTCACATGTTGACTAGGTTTTCGGTTAGTTTTGAAGAAATTTGTAATGGGGCTTATGTCAACATTTTGTTATGTAAATTTGAATGCGATTTTGAACTAAAGAGTTGTGAACATGTAAATAATTTATTTTTCTTTATATAGGCAAGCGTTTGCAACGTTCCGCGCTGCGGCCCTGCTGAACCCGGCGATGGCGCGCAAGCTGGCTGCAGTGGGCAGCTGCTTTAAGAGTCAACTTCAGCTGCGCCGAACCTTCCTGAACGTAGTGCTCCAGGAAACCTTTGCTAGTAAGTATTCTGGACCTATGAACGATTTTATCATAATGCATGTTTGTTAGTGTCAGACCACCTCTGCTTGCTCTGCACTAGGATTGTCTCCTGTGTCGTTTCCCATTTCTAACAATACTTTCATCTCCATTAACAGAACTGGATGTGCTGGAGCGCTCCAACCCAAAGTACCTGGTGAATGCAACGTCACTGATGGGTGATTACTTCGCGGGGCCCGCCTCAGCGACGGCCAGAAAGTAATATTCCTCGCCGAGCCACTGCTGCGGTACCTGCGCGCACTACTGGCCTGCCAGGATATTCTAGCGCACCGCACACTCGCAACGCAGGTACTATATCACTCTTACCGATCATCATCAATATTTAGCATGGCCAAAGAATCTCACAAATGCTAATTAATTTTTTTATTCACAGTTAATGCAAAACGGTCGCGAGCTACTCTCCATACTACCACAAGAGATAGACGAGCTTTCGATTTCTATCCGTCTCCGTCTGCTCTCGTCGCCACCGGTCAGTACAACGTGGCTACTGCTCTCCGCGGACCTTTGCCTCAACAAGTTTCTTGCTCTGCCGAATATACTGCAACAGTTCTATGCTGATCATCTCGAAATAACCACGTCAGAAAATAGTGAAGTCAGCTATGGATCTTGCACAAAAGGCCCCGAAATGGACGTAGATCAGCCACAATCAACTGCTGCTGCTCGGCAATCAAAGGAAGATAGAACAGCGTCAGTTAGACGAAACAAGTACGACGCTGTTCATTCCAAAATTGACATGAAAAGCAGACTCGATCTCAACTCATGGCGGCAGCCGAATGAGGAGGTTGTTAAACAAGTGTGCAGTCTCCATAAAGATGATACCACCAAGACGCGGATTGCTCAGAGAAACCTTATATCTGCCGGCCGAGACAAATTGGCAACCTGGACGGCAAGAAATAACCTGAGGAGACGTTACGATCTCAACACGTGGCGGCAGACACAGGAGGAGAATGTGGAAGAGGACGTGAGACATACGAGATGATTTTACATTTATAATATAAGTCGTGTAGTACCAAGTTGTAAGACGTATTGTAAATTTAAATTTAATTGTACATAGCGGAATGAAATGTTACTTGTATGTTTTGTATATTTTGTCGAATCTATAAAATAAATAATATTATTGCAAAACTTTGCTATTTTATTAAATGTAACGTAGGGACTTCCTTTTAAATAAGAAAAATATTTGTGCTAGGTATAAAAAAATACATTAAGACATTAAAATTAAATATGGGGAATAGAACATTGGATCTTTATTAATGTTACAATTTATTAATGTTTGTATTTTAAAGTTTCTTTATTTATAACAAATCTAGTTGGAGTAGCTAGTCATATTTTTAAGGAGTGCTACGGGTGCGCTTTCAACGCTGCTTCCAAACTTAGGGGGCCCGAGCGCTGTCTGTAGGAGGCTCTACGTAGGGATCGTACTATCCATGGCCATGTATGGAGCCCCGATATGGGCGGCAGACCTGACGGCCGGCAGTATTGCAGTATTGCGAAAACCGCAAAAGGCGATGGCCGTCAGAGTCATTAGGGGTTATCGCACGATTTCCTATGAGGCAGCTTGCGTATTGGCCGGATCTCCGCCCTGGGACCTCGAGGCAAAAGTACTTGCGTCATTGTATCTGTGGCGTAAGGAACAGCAGGAACGGGGTGTCCGACTGGTGCAACGACAGATAGGATCGCACCGGTCGGAGCTTCGTCAGGTCTTAGTGGCGGAATGGCGGGAGAGGCTTCAACGCCCTACCGCTGGACTCAACTTCATCGAGGTGGTCCGGCCAGTACTCGACGACTGGCTCGGGAGAAAGCATGGCACCCTGTCGTTCCGAGTGACGCAGATGCTTTCGGGGCATGGGTGTTTCGGAAAGTTCCTGTGTCGCATAGGCAGGGAGCCAAACGCTCGGTGCCATCACTGCGTCCTTTGTGAGGAGGATACGGCGCAGCATACCCTTATGGAGTGCGTGGCTTGGGATGAGCCGCGTCGTGCCCTCATATTAGAGATCGGTGACGATCTGTCATTGTCGACTGTTGTCCAAAAAATGGTCGGCAGTGCAGAGTCGTGGGATGCAGTGGTGTCTTTCTGCGAAGATGTAATGTCGCGGAAGGAGGCTGCGGAGAGGGAAAGGGAAATTGCAATGTCTCTACCTTCCCGCAGTAGGCGCACCGGGCGTCGAAGGAGAGCAGAAATTACTCTCTTTCGACCCCCCCTAAATGGGTCCGGGGACGGTGGACTTGGGGAAGTCCCCGTCATCCCGTTGTAAAGGACCCGAGACGGTGGCGCGCGTTGTGTCCACGCGCGCCTCCGAGACGTTGCACGGAGAAGACTAACGCCTCACTTCTCCGTGCATCTTGAGGTGGGGCCTGGCAAGGCAGGCCGCCACGAGTTCGGGGGCTGCGGATGAATGTGACTCCCGCACCCTCGTACCCACGTGTGAGACGGGACACCGGGGTGGGTTTTAGTCAGTAAGAGTCTGACAGTCCCTTTCGTCCTCCCCAGGCGAGGGGGCTCCATGAGGATTTCCCACCTTTGGGGTTAAAAAAAAAAAAAAGCTAGTCATATTTTATTTCAATATTCCATAATACATCAGTCTGTTGTTGTTTATAGCATTAGTGTTCAAATACAATTTTAAGACGTTCTCAAGAATAGTTCTGTCACTAAAAAATCAAATATTTTGTACAACGACAGAGGTACAATTAGAATTGATATTGTTTCTTTGTTTCTTTTCATTCATTGTTTCTTTGTTCTGCTGCTTATAGGACAATACATTATTTCCGAGAATATAGACCCCGTGTATAGTCGGGGCGTATCACTAGTATATAGGCGAGAGTAGGAAAGAATATAAGGGGTTGCCCAAGTCTCATGTAAAGTAAAGGAATCCCTGTCATTAAATAAAATAGCATTTTTTTACATTCAGCCATTGATTTTGATGATTACCTACACCCATGTGGGGTTTCATAGCACATTGTAACAAAATAAATTGAATCATTCCGTTTTCGCCAAACTAAGAATTTTACCACATTCTTTACAACATAGAGGTAAGTAAAAGATAAAGACCCGATCGGACTCGAAAAGTATCGTCGTACGGGTGACACGTCACGTACACCACATGCATACAATGACGTAGCGGCTGTCTATTAATCAAGTGAGGCTCAAAAAGGGGGAAAGGGTTCGACAAAAAATTACAAAATATCAAGAGGGGGGACAGAGCGAAATAAAATACCACGTGTATTTATTTATCCTCGTTTTTTTTAAGCTTTATAACAAGGTATCGAGGGAGTTTTTACCGGTGCTTGGAATTAACTCGTCGAGTACCGTATTTATAGACACAATTAAAGAACAATAGGTTGCGGTCACCGGTGACCGCTTGGTGTTTGACAGTTTAATGTGATTTAAGGTCTTTCAAATGTCGTAAACAATGACTATGAAATTCCAATGTGATGACGTCATTATTTTCCCACACCTTCTTGCAATATTAGTTCATAACTCAGAATTGGCTTCAAAAGTTTTCTTTTATATTGTATTTCATTGGATTATCTCCGCCCAGAACAAATGATAATCTACTTTATCTGACGCTACTGCGCCGTAGTAGCAACAGCTACGCCGTAGCATCATTTGCTACGAATTCAATTGGACTAATGCCAACAGTTGTTTGCAATCACGAGCGTCACCTAAGCACTGGAGAAATGTGTTTGAAATGAAATGAAATGTGTTTATTCGGCATAAGACATGAGCGCCAGGTACCAAAACAAAAATATATATTATAGCAAAATAACAATTAACTCGTCGAGTACCGGTTTTATAGACACAATTAAAGAACAATAGGTCGCGGTCACCGGTGACCGCTTGGTGTTTGACAGTTTAAAAGGTTAAAAAAAAGAGAGAGAGAAAAAAAGATCATAAGCTACATTATAAAATTAAAACAAGCTAATAATAACAGATACAACATACTACGCAGTGTTGGCACACATGCCCAATCCGAATAGGTCGGCAAGTCAGTAAAAAGCTGGGCACAATGAGCACCCAACACTGATTTCCAGTTGGCACCCCTGCAGAGACGCACGGACGAAAGCAACAAATACTTGTAATCGTAATCCGCATATGCCAAAATTTCATTTTAATTTTGTGAACAATGAACAATTTGAAATGGATAAGATGTTTGTTATTCTTGCACAAAACAAGTCCTGGATGATTTGGATGAAGTACAGAGTCTGGAAATCAATACAGTCTGGACACATGAAGTATTTTGTATCCCAAGGACGCGGGCGAAGCTACTGGCAGAAATAAGTTAATTTATAATGATGTCGGCGCTATCGGGACAAGGTTCTAATGAAAGACGAAATATTCGTCGCTAGAAGGTGTTCTTAGTCCAGCGGTGGATTGCCAAGTGATGTTTGTTAATGTTGAATGAATATTGTACTAGTATGAAACTCATCGTTTGCGACATTTCGAAGAACGTATCTAATTACTTTTACCGAAGACCTATTGTCGTCGGTGGTTGTCGAGAGTAAGCTGTTTACATAGATAGATAATTAAATAATACGAGTGCTTAGTTCATCAAAATAGGACATATCGAAACGTGGTCTTTTTAACTGCATTATTATTAATACACACGATTTGTTTCAGATTCTAGAAGGTCGAGATTGAATTTTTGCGTTCATATACTCCCGAAGGGTGTGATGGGCGGACTGGTCGTATTGCAACTCCGCTATCGAACATGACACCATGATGAATCCAGAAGTTTAATAAGAACAATTTTGATTTTATAGTTTCCATGGCCAGTGAAAACTTTGGCAATACAGTGATCCACCTCCAACCGTGCCATCTCCAGCCACAGATGCACGGATGGAAAGAACTAACTGTATTGGAATATGAAAACATTTGGATCGATTTTTGTAGATCGAGTTACCATATTGAGTATTTTTGAATGCTTATTCAATTGAACCCCTTTGAAGAATACGTTAAAATATGGCTAGTCCTGTCGTTCTATGTGGATTCGGGTGCTGAGTCATGAGAAAGGCGGGTGAAAGAAGTTTGCCTACAGCAGAGATGAGAATGCTGCAATGGATATGGGCGTGATGAGACTAGACAATATAATACACGGTTATGTTATGAACTTAAGAGTAGCGCTCTCTATGGAGCCTAACTGTGGAATCTGTACATCTAAACTCCGCATACTTAAATTCTAGCATACATCTGTCTGGATATAGAACTGAATGGTTCAAAAACTTGATTTTTATTGCATTGATGAGTGAAAAACAATGTAATCTTGTTTTCATTATACCTTATACTTCTTGTCAACTTATCTGTATTCACCTCCTTAACGAATCATTCTATTTTCAAAAAATGTAGGTCAAAAAGAGATAGAAACATTTGATACACAACAACTTTTACGTTAGATAAGGACAAAATATACAATAGAGAAACGTGAGAAAGCAATACCTGCGCAAAATGTATGCGTTAGAAGGAGACAGCGCGCGTATTGTTTTACGTCTCCCCACCAAGCATTATGTCGTCGATACAATACAAGTTTTAGGCTAGCAGCTAGCAGATCGCCCGTTACTTCGCCAGTTGCTCCTGTGACATCGCGCTGTACAGTCAACGTGTCCCGAGTCTACATTATTACTATTATAAATAATTTCGTTTTAATTTAAAAAAACATGGTTTTGGAAAGATTCGTTTGGAGCGAAGAAGTGGAGAAGTCTACCGAAATGGGCGAACAACCAGAGACTGGTAGAGACTCCGTAGAGCCTGAATTAGAGGCTCCAGAAATATTGGAAACTGAAACTTCAGTGGACGAGGAAGACGGTGCCTTAAAGGACTTGCTCAGAGTCGATGAACAATATGTTCCCCTGTTGACCTTGGTATGTAATATTATATTTTCTTAACTTATTTTAATACGAGAAACAATTGAGTTCATTATTGTTAATTTACTGACTTACCTTTTCTTACAGCTGGAACAGTTTTCCCCTGGAGAAGATGGCATCCAATTCAACAGAAAGTTGAAACACTTTGAGACCACTGTCTCATCCGTGTGTCCGGACGACTCGCGCGTGCAGTAAGTA